CTTCAGGGACCGGTGTAGCACTGCCAGGGCCCAGACCCTGCTCTGAGCTACGCCGGCTGGGTCATCCCCGCTGAACAAGGAGCTCTGGGCTGGGTGAGTCTGGCCCAACATGGAAGTACCACCTTGAAAGCCTCGGGAGAGCCAAGCCTGGACCCATTCATGGGCTGAGGTGGCCTTTCATGGGAGCTGTGGTGAGGAGCAGCCGGAGCGATGGCTTGGCCCAGCAGGTGCTGGGGAGTGATGCTGGGATGGGGAAAGGAAAGCAGGCTGCTGGTGAAGCCCTGCCACCACCCTAAGGCCACAGAACTGCTGCTGATTCGGGGCATGGGGCCTCCGGCTGGTCCAACCACTGCAAGGAGCTGGTAAACAAGGTAGGAAGGGGCTGGCTGCCTGGGCTCCGTCCTCAAGGGCCCAGGGCATGTCAGGGGCCAGCAGGGCTGTAGGGTTTGCTGAGCCTGCTCCCCTTCCTGTGTGTGGAGGCTGCGATGTGTGCATTGCTTGTCCCGCGGGGAAGGTGACTGAAGGCTGCTCGGGTCAGTATCTTCAGGGCACCTGCCTGGCAATCTGGCCAGGCCTACACCCCCTCATTGGTTGGTTTAGCAGCTACCAGCACTGGGTTCTGCCCCAGCTGCTGGTTGTGGTAAGGTGCCCGGTTATTGGTGGATGGGTCTTAGTGCAGAGTGGTGCTGGATTTGTTCTGCTGTGCCTGAGATGGTGACGCAGGCCCCATGTCCCCCCATGTCGGAACCCAGGCGCTGTCAGACAGGGTCACGGAGACCACGTTCGCATGAGCCCCACTCCGCTCGGGAAGCGAGACACTGTTTTTTCTGTTCTCAAACCCCTGGCACTGTTCTCCGAGCACTGGAGCTCACCAAATCTGCTGTGCCCTCAGCTGGGGGCAGGCTCGGGAGTCTGCTTCACCCCCCGGGCAGTGCACTGTGCTGCTGGCCTGGGCCACATTGTTGGGGCCCATGGGACCGTGCCAGAGGCACCATTGCCCCCCCCCCCCCCGAGAGCCCTGCCCCCTGCGCACTTGGTAGTGTTGTTATTCCTCCAGACACTGCTCAAAGCTCTTCCTCACTTGACACAAGGCTCCCAGCTGGTAGGGCAGGACAGACTCCCCAGTGAGACAGAGCCCTGCCCCAGTCAGGGGCATCCCATTTCCATCTGCAAAAGAGAGGTTTGGAGCAGTGACCTAGAAGCCCTGGGCTTGGACTGTGGCAATTTTCTCTGCATGGGACTTAGGAGGAAGGTGAGGAAACCCTGCTGGGATCTGATTTGCTCTTGACTCTGGTGATGGCAAAGGACTTTGTGATTATGTTGGTTTTGTCCTGAAAACCATGCGGCTCTTGGCTAGCTCTTTGGCCTGGTCTACACTACGGGATTAATTCGGATTTAGCAGCGTTAATCCGAATTAACCCTTCACCCGTCCACACTACAGAGCCAGTTAATTCGAATTAAAGGGCCCTTTAAATCGATTTCTGTACTCCACCTCGACGAACGGAGTAGAGCCTAAATCTATTTTGTTAATTCGAATTAGGGTTAGTGTGGCCGCACACCACCGAATTACTGTGTTTAAGTTAATGGGGTAGTGTGGCCGCACACCACCGAATTAATGTGGTTAAAAACCGAATTAAGGTGCTTAGTGTGGCCGCGCACAATCGAATTTATACAACCTGTTTCCCAAATTCGAATTATCTAAATTCGGATTAATCCTGTAGTGTAGACATACCCTTTGTGTTGGAAGGTATTCAGCAGTGCAATTCACTCACTGGCCGCCCTGCTGCCCAGCAGTGCAGGGGCACAAGTGAGGGCCATGTCTGGACTTGGAGTCCTAACTAACTACATGGCTGCTGCTTGTTTTGACGGACACGCCACTTGGTATTTGGTGTCTGACTAGATCCCAAATGTGGGTCCGTCCCATCCGAGACAGGCTTGTGGGAGGATCTGGCATCAGCTGAGTGTGGTAACTGGCTGCCTAATCCCAAACTGAAAGACTCCGCAGGCTAGTCCCAGCCCTCCATGGCAGGGTATTCTTAGAGCAAAGTGCCTGCAAGCTCTGCAGTCCCTCACTCCACGCCCCGCTCTGCCTCCTGCTTCGGGAGCCTGCTTCCCTGAAACGGCGAGCAGAATCTCCCGTGTTCGGCGGTGGCACTTTGTCCCAGGCCCACAGGTAATAGTCTACACTTCACAGCGCCGTCTCTCCCCAAGCATGGCAGTGCCAGCAGCCAGGGAGCGGAGTCTTTGCCAAGGACACCTCTGGAGATGCACCAGAGGATCACAGTGTAGCCTAGAGCTTGGTGTTAGGGCTGTTGTTGGCTGGTTCCAAGGTGCGTCGGTGCTGCCAACCTGAAGCTCAGGCCACTCTGGCAAGCGTCTGGCTACGCCCCTAGGAAGCTGCGAGTGGCTGAGTCAGCGGAGGAAGAAGCCCGTAAGCATTTGAATGACTTGCAGATCTTTAGTCAGACTGGATTTACATATCATTACCCACAATGCCCTGGGTTATAGGTCTCAACTTCCTCCATTAACGATTCAGTTGCCAGTGCAAGGTCCCAGTAATGGGGAAGGCCTCAGCTAAAGTTTCCCCTGCCCGCCCACCCGCCTACCATCATCCCCCTCCCCAATATCTTGTCTGCATCGTAAATTGGTCACACCCGCAATGAAGGAGCTTGTGTCTGCAGTCCAAGCCAGGCACACAGAAGGAGAGATACTACCCGGATGGGGTGCCAAAGCTGTGTCCTGCTTGCTGGCTAAAGGCTTTGCAGCCATTTGTTGACACAGGGGGACAGAGGAATGTGTGTGCAGGGGGCAGGGGAGCAGGTGTTGGACCATGACTGAGAGGCCCTTGGTGACGGTGGGCCTTGGGTTCTGGGTGCTCTATCACCGCAGGTCAAGTAGTCTTGTTGGCCAGGAATCAATAGTAAGTGGCCTGGAGCCCATCTCAGGTCCCACTCTACAAGGAACCTGCTGGGTCCCATGGCTGGGAGAGGGACGGAAGGGCTGGACAGGCAGGTGTGTTAACTTACAGCCCCCGAGCATGGGATGGGGCCTAGGGAGCAGCCCTCTCCTGGACAGCCCTGAGTGAGGAGCACAGCACAGCGCCTGCTGCGAAGGGCTCTTTCCACTCCCAACAGGGACTGATGATCAGCTCCCTAGGAGTGTGCTCCCTTCTCCCCAGCCCGACGCCCTCCCATGCCTGCATTACAGCCCCTGCTCCGTCACTGCACTGAACTGCTCTTCATTTGGATAATAGAGCAGACCCCCCAGGCAGGGTACAGACTCGGTGGCTGCTGCATTTATTTATGCTTCCCAATACATTTGCAGCTAGGCAAGCACCACAGGACCCCCACCCCATCCTAGGGCCCAGGACGAGCCCAGGCAGGGAGAGCTGTGGAGCCCTGCCCCAGTGCAGCCTGCCCAGGAGGGTCCCAGCTGGCCCCGGGCAGGCCCTGGGTGCAGGGAGGGCTGCTAAGGGGATGAGCTTCAGCAGAGCCCTGCACTGGGAAGATTCCACCCCAGGTAGACAGACACACCCACCCTCCAAGAGCAGCAAGGGAAGCACACCCCCAGGGCCGGCACACCTCCATTCCCTCTCCCTGGGGCCCCCTGCCTACCACTCCCAGCACGCCTTCTCCCACCCCCTCCTCCAGCCTCCATCGCCTCGCGGTCAGTCACTGCGTGTGTCAGGCTAGGGCTTGGCCCGGGCTCTGGCTTTCAGCCCTGACCCCACAGGACGGGGAATTCCCCCTGCCTGTCCCAGGAAGGAGGGTAAATTGGGTAAGTTAAAGCAAAGGGGCTAATCAGTTCTTTGATATCTGCCTTGCGTGCCAAGATGCCATTTGACATCTCTCCCCTCCCTGCTCCGCTCCATCACACTGGCTCTCCTCTCCTTTCCTCTCCTCTTCTCCACCCTTTTCTTCCCACCCGTGGGTGCCTGACTCACCGGGCAGTGTGTTTGCTAATCATGGGTAATGATGCCAGAGCGGCTGGGCTTTCTCCCTTGCTGTTCTCCAAGTTGAAGTCTGCCCTAGTTTCTCTCTCGGGAATGTGCAGACTGACTTCTCAGAGGATCCCTGCTCAGTAGGAGCCAGGGGCTGCTGACCTTTGCCAGATTCAGAGTTGCACCAAAGCTTGTGGGTCACCACTCGCCCCCTATTCAGTGGCCCCTGGTGAGTCTGAGTCCAGTTCCCGGTGCTGCCCCACTGCTGGCTCAGAAAAGCAGGGGCCAGAGGGCTGACGGAGCAAGTGAGACACAGACCAGGGCTCTGCAGAGCAACGCTCTATAGATGCAGCGGTAGGTCCACAAGCCATTTCAAGGCCTCTTCTGTGACACTGGATATTGTCCAGTTCAGCTCTGAATCCATTCTGCTGGGTTCGGTGGCTTGGCTGTTCTCACCAGTCACATGAAGGGGTGTCTTTGAGTTTCCACTTGTGCATCAAGTAGCTGTATCTTCCCTGGTTGGTTTGGTGTGGCCCAAAGTGCACGTGGCAGCTCAGCGTGTTGGCTGCTCTCTGTCCATCGGGCCTGAGGCACACGGACTGGCTCAGGCTGCATCTGTCCTGGCAATAGTTGGCAGCCACCCATCTGGCACCTTTGCCAGCCTGAGATCAGGATGGCTGTTCCACTCAGACATTTCTACAGCCAGGGTTCCCTGTGAGAGGACAAAGGGCCATGAGCCCTCCTGCTGCAGGGCATGAGCCAGCCACTTCCCTGTGGGGAACTCACCCCAAGGGACTGGACTAGATGAACCCCAGGTCTGACCCTCTCTGCCCATTCCTATGGTCCTGTCAATAGAGTTACAAGCCCCTGCAAACCCCTGTCTCCATGGGGTCCCCTCCCCCTGCCCCCGGGCAGCTCCCCGCAGGACTGCCCTGCTTTGGCCCGTGGACAGTATGGCCTCCAGCCCCTGGGGTCTCCTGGCCTCACCACCGGCTCCGAGGTTGTCTCAGGCTCTGAGTGGGGCTGGACAGTCAGCAGCCTTTTCTGTGTCTCTCTGCAGGGTAATCAGGACGCCACGGCTCCTCCTGAAGCAATGGCTCAGCCCTACCCCCCAGCCCAGTATCCTCCGCCTCCCCAGAATGGAATCCCTGCAGAGTACGCACCCCCGCACCCCCACCCCACACAGGACTACTCGGGGCAGAGCACGGTACCGGAGCACGCCATGACCCTCTACACACCAGCACAGAGCCACGCCGAGCAGCCGGGCGCTGACGCCAGCACGCAGTCCATAGCGGGGACGCAGACGGTATCGGTAAGAGCCCCCGTGGAGCCCCGGGTGGGCAGCAGGGCCTTTCAGGTGAGAGGAGCAGTGATGGGCCACGAAGGGACTCAGGGTCCTTTGGCCCCAGGCTGGAGCTTGGGGCAGTGCAGTCGGTGTCTCTTGGGGGGCAGGGCAATATGCCAGCGTGGGGGAGGGGGCGAGATGGTAGGAAGTGCTCTGAGAACGTGTGACCTGGGGAATCCTGGAGTCACCTGCCTGGCAGCAGGGGGCTGTGGGTCAGGACTGAGGGGCATGGCAGAGTTGTCAGTAAGGTGGGGTGGGCGAGGCCCGGGCTGGAATAACAGGTGGGTCACGCAGCCCCTGCCCCCCGTTCCCAGCTTTAGCCTAGGCTCTCCGTCCAAACGCTCGGCCCCTGCCCCGGAGCTGAGCAACATGTGGCTACAAAGGGAGAGCCATAGGCTGAGCCTGAAGCTCCAGCACCTCTGGTGGCTGCTGTGCCCACTGCACGGGCAGCGGCAGTTTGCGGTTGCCAGTCCCTCTCCCAGTTTACGGGCTCCCCTGTCATTTCTAATCACTTGTAATCTACCTGCTTGGCTACTTTCCAATCAGATAGCTTCAATTAGGTGGTTGTAATGCAGCTCCGAGCGGAAAGTGCTGAGCCATCACTTCCCAGCCCGCCCCCGGCGCACCACGGAGCACAGCTGGGCCCGCTCCCTTGCACAGCTCTGCCTTCCCTCCACACGCAGGCACGCTCGTCCACACGCACTGCATGCACACACACACCCCCGTGTGCACACTGCACATGCCTGCTGCATACGCAAACGCTCATCCACACACACACTGCACACATGCACATTTGTCCACACTCAGATTGCACACACACTCATTTAAACTTATGCTGCACACACGCACACTCATCTGCATTCTGCACATATGTGTGTACACTTACCCATGCTGCACATGTGCACACTCTTGCACACACACTGCACATCCACGCGCATCCCCACTCACCTTGCACACGCTCACACTTACACACTCACCCTCTCACATAACTCTCTTGCACATACACGTGCACACACTTGCACACCCTCCCTTAATTCAGTCTACTGGAGCTGTGTTGGTGACAAGCTAGACATGTGCTACCAAGGTGTAAAAGGAGATGGGGCCCGGGGGGCTGTGGGAGGGGGCCATGCACTGTCAGGGCTTTGATCCCTGGGTCCATTTGCCGTAGTGCCAATGCTGACACGCTGGCAGGCCGCTCTGCAGTGCCAGGCAGCTCTTCTCCCTGGGGTCAGGCACAGCTTCGCCCTGCACTTTTCACAAGATGTCTCCACCCCCGCAGTGGGAGGAGCTCGCTCACCCCCTCTCCCTCGCATGGCCTGTCTGGGGATCAGACACTGCAGCAGGAAGAGCCTGGCCTAGACCATAATGCCAGGTAGGGGGTTAGTGATGCTGCGTGGGGCCCCTCGGGCGCAGTGGCTGTTGGCGGCGTGTCCCCTTCCCAGCACGAGTGCTGCAGTGGGCTGATGATTGTGGGGGCCTGTTTTCCAGCAGACAGATGAAGCTGCGCAGACAGAGAGCCAACAGCTCCATTCCTCAGAGAACACAGACAAGCAGCAGCCCAAGAGGTTACACGTCTCCAACATCCCCTTCCGGTTCCGGGATCCAGACCTGCGGCAAATGTTCGGGGTGCGTATGGCCAGTGTGTGCACCAGCCCTGTCGTCCCCGGTGGGCCCAGGGCCCAGGAAGAGGCAGGGCAGGGGACTTGACATTGCAAACATAGAACTAATGAATCCTAACAGTGCTCAAGTGCT